CGCACACCACGTGCCATGCCCGTCCGCGTCTCGAGCCGAAAGATAGTCAACACTGCTGCTGATGGCCCCCACGTTCCTCTTAAAGCCCTTGCTGAAGAACCGCGCTCCAATCACCTTGCGATTGCACGCGCTGAAATCCGCCCGCCTCTCACACCGGCCCCGCCACCGCCTGGGAGGCCTGCTGTATGGCTTGTAGGCCTGGGAAATGGAGGGAGGAGAGGGGGATGGGGACGAGGGAGTGCGGGAGGAGAGAGGAGGTAAGCTCGACCGCAATAGGCTGCTTCTCACACCTGCCTTGCCATCGCCTGGGGGACCTGCTGTAGGGCAAGTAGACTGGGGTAGGGAATGGGGGGATGAGGGGGGGTGAGTGCGCAGCAGGGGAACAGGGTAACGGGGGAACGGTCAACTGTATGAACAGCACAGCAGCATATTGCAAGCTCCCAACCTTACTGAAACATCTCTTAACGAGGATACTTACTGGATCACTGAACGAAGGGTGCTCCGGCCAAATGCCCGTGTCGACAATCCCGATGACCATCCCCTCCCCCGCGCTGTCCTGCCCGCCCGTCGCGGGCCACAGCGTATCGGGCAGCTTCAAAAACCTCGGCGAATCAGTGGTCAGTTTCGTAAACAAAACATCCGGCTCGATTGCAGCAACCGCGGGATGCTTTTTTAATTTCTTGACCTCTGCTGCAGTTAGCGTCGCCGCGAAACTATTCGCCGTAAAAGTGGAACTCTGGAAAATATTTTCCTCGGCAATATTCAGGCTCGCGAGAACTCGCCGCTGCGACTGCTCCAAGAATTGTTGAAAGTCCTTAACGGGTTGGGATATTATATCGGGTATGGTTCGCGGCCGCTGCGACCAGAAATTTAACTCCGCTCGCTGGTCCGCTTTCTGCTTCGCGTCTTTCAACTTATTCACAGTCGCCGTCGCCGCCGACTCGACGCGTTTCAGTATCGCCTTGGCGATTTTCGCGGCGGAATCGACGGCGGCAGCAGCGCTCTCCATCGCGTCGGCAATGGGCCCGTCCTGCGATTTAAGAACCTTGCTCATGACCTCCTTAAAAGCACCGTCGTTAGTGTCATCGTCGACGCTGTCGTCGTCGTCGTCACCGTCGTCGGGAATCGCCGTGGCTTTTAAGCCTAGGAGCCCGCCACGGTAGGTTAGGATCGGAGGAGCGGAGGATAGATGGACTATGTAGGATTTAGTAGCTTGAGAGGCTGCTGAAGCGGAGGAGGCGGAGGAGCGAGAGCGACGAACGGGCGAGGAGGAGGAAGGAGAAGAGGAGGACGAGGCGGAGGAAGAGGAGGAAGAGGAAGAGGAGGAGGAGGAGGAAGAGGAGGAAGAGGAGGAGGAGGAGGAGGAGGAGGAGGAGGAGGAGGAGGAGGAGGAGGAGGAGGAGGAGGAGGAGGAGGAGGAGGAGGAGGAGGAGGAGGAGGAAGAGGACGAAGTTGATACTACGAACGGGCGAGAAGACGATGCGGAAGCAGTTGAAACCGTCGAAGACGATGACGTGGAAGTGGAGGATGCTGACGTGTCGTCGTCGACGATGTCGGGCACGTCAGCATCCGCGAGTGTGATGATGGTGAGGTCGCTGCCGTCGTCATCCAAGCCTGCTGAATCCGCAGAATCCGTTGCCGCTGCTGTTGGGAAGGCGCGGCGGGGGGAGGGGGAGGGAGAGGGGGAGGGCGAGGGGAAGGGAGAGGGGGAGGGGGAGGGTAGTGGGAGGGGAAGTGAGATTATCGTGAGATCGCTGCCGTCGTCATCCCATGCGCCTGCTAAGTCAGCAGAATCCGTTCTGTTCGGAATGCGCGGGTGGAGGGGGGGGAGTAGGGGGAGGGAGGTGGGGGGAAAGGCGGAGAAGCAGGAAGAGTGTGATGACGGTGAGGTCGCTGCCGTCGTCGTCCCACGCGCCCGCTCCTCCTGTCTCCGCAGAATCTGCTGCTGCTGCTGGGAAGGTGGCGGGAAGTAGCGGAAGGTGGAGCTTGGGAGGCGGTGTGACAGGGAGCCGGGTGGGGGAGGGGAGGGGGAAAAGGGGGGGGGTTGAAGGGGGAATTGCGGGGGAAGCACGGGAACGACGCTTCACTTGTCGTACCCTCTCCATCCCACCCCACCCCCTACCCACGCTCTCCCTATCCCTACCTTCACTTATACTCTTTCCTCATCATTCCCACCCTCATTCTCCTGCTATTCCTCCCGGGCTCCATTCCCCTCATACTCCTGTCTGTTCAGGCGGTCCCCACGGCATCCCTGTCGACACAGTAACCCCGCCTCCCTCCCAACCCACCAACCCCCCCTTCCCTCCCCCCCGCCCTTCCTCCACACAGCTAAACTCTTTGCGCTCGTGCGCTAGTATCTGCGAAAGTATTTTTCGGAAGCACAGCCCAGCGCGCACATCTGTGCGCACACCCGCGGGCCCTCGTGCACCCTCGCGCATCACTCTCGTCCCACGCAACCTCGCGCAACGCGCGCATTCGAGCATACCTACGGTGCCTTGGAATCGTGACAGGGGAAACACGGCCAGCACGAGCAGCACGAGCAGCGGCAGCGTGAGCAGCGACGGCCGTCGCGGTAAGGAGCATTCGTTGCGAGCGTTTCGCCCCTTTCTAACGGAACTTAGATGTCTCCTAAGAACCATCTTCGCGCTAACTAGTTAACGCTATTAGGTTTCCGGATACTAGGCTTGAGCGGATTGTTTTGAACGCGAGGGAGCGAGCGTGGAGAAACTAAGTCGCGACGCCGCTCGAGCAACAGTGCGCAATCTGGTGGAACGAGTCGCCTTGTGATGAAAACGCTGAACATAAGCCGAGGCTGAACATGGAACCTACTGCTGTGACCCAGGTGCGAGAAGCGGCGCCGCCGCTAGTGACCCTACTGATACAGTACTGCCACCTGCTCGCGCCGTTCCAGACTAGGTCCTGTTAGTTGCGCTGCAAAATGGCGGCATTGTGGTGATAGTAATGCACTAGTGACGCAATAGTAAGCAATTCGTGGTCGCGGCGTGCCATTCCAATCACCTAAGGAGTTGTGCTGCATGGCTTTTGTTTGGTGTGGCCTCCCTCCTGAATCCTGACCAGGCTCCTGAATCCTGACCTGACCTGGGGACGGAGGCGTGTACAGTAATCAAGCTGCAGTTTAATGCAGGTGGCAAAGTCGGTGTGATGGTATGATGTGTTACGTCCCAACCAAAACTGAAACCCGAATGGAGGAGATTAAATGCTCCACGGGTTTTCTGAAACCGCCGTTGGGCTTTCCTGCATACAAAATTGTCTCTCACTACAGTACCAACTTCGTGTGTTACGAGCTTGCCTGATGTTCGTTAGGGGAGTGCGCCCTTGTTCTCAGGTGGGAGGTTAGTGGAAGATGCTGGTTCAGCAGCTGAGGTTTCATTTCTGTACAACAACCGCGCTTCGGTGACATTGAGAGTGGAATCTTGCTTGAACACCTGGGCTCTGGCCTCCGTGATTTGAAGTGCAACGCGACAAAGCGGGCCTCCACGTCCTTGCGCTGATGGTCCAGACCAGACCAAAACCGCATAACAGTACAGTACAACCCGTTCGTGTCAATGAAGGTGGAACACTCATCTTTTACAAAGCCTCTTTAGACTTGTTTGCCACCTCTCTTGATATATTTAGATTTTCAGAATATACACAATCGCTAGTTCTGCTGTGCTGGTATAATTCTTTCACGGCATCCATTGATACTTTTACGGCATAAAAAACTATACTTTGCAACAAACTCCCATTCCATTTATTATTTCCACCAACTAGTTTTCTTCTTTGTGTCTGTCATAAGGATAATGGTTTCAGATGGAAGCTGCTCGATGTTGCTATTCCTGGATGGGTGCAGAGTGCGGCGCATCATAGCGGGTACATTCTCGTCAATCTCCCCACCGATAACTGCGGAGGCCTCATCTCTCCCCTCCAAGTAGCCCCCGCGTTTTTCGATCACTGCGTGCTGTTTTGCTTCTATCTTCCGCAGTGGTTTGCTTTGTTCGACCCAGTAAGGGCGGATGACCTGATGTCAGACACACCGTAAGAATGTACCCTCATTCCATCATTGCCGCCTGTTCTTCTGTTCTCCTGTTCTTTCGTTCTTCTGTTCCTGCACCAATCAGGGAGCCCCCATTTGCCGCTGTCTGTTTACAAGCGTAACCCTAGCCGTTACCTTTCGCCGAATTAGTTCGCGAACATGAAAAGAGCGCGGCGAGAAACGTCGTTCAAGGATGATGCGAAAGGCAGTCGCCTGCTGTCGCTTCGCCCGTGTGACCCACCCATGCGATCGCCGCAACGTCGCTCTCTCCTGCTCGCGCCTCCACCGCCTCTCGCGTCGCACGCCCCACTCACTCCACTTCGTCTTCATCGAACCCTTCAAGGGCCTCAACGCGCGCAGGTGGCTCAAAGATTTCGACGACTTCTCGAGGGTATTTACCCGAATAATTTCGCTGACCGTGGAGGTTCGTTCGAGCCAGGGAAGTGACCTGCTGGCGAGTATCGGTGCGGGCTGCCCGAAACTGGAACCTCTGAAGCTTGTCGCGACGTGGGGGGGGTTCTATATGAACGCGGCCGCGTGGATGAAGCTCGCAAGACAATGCCCGTGAGCAAGCTGATTATCTCCTCCTTGCTTTGATTTTTTTTAACACTAGCGCCCATTGTAAGAACGCCGCTGCGTGGCTGAAGCTCGCTAATCAATGCCCGTGAGTCTGGTGGTTCTCTCTTCCGCGCATTTGATTCTTGACTTGACCCATCCCGTCCTAACCTTAAGTCATGCGGGTGCCCCCACTCCATATGAACACCGCTGCGTGGCTGAAGCTCGCGAACCAATGCCCTTGAGTGTGCTAATTCTCTCTCCCCCGCATTTGATTCTGGACCCATCTCGTCCATTTTTGGGACGTCTCAAAAACTCGGTTTTTGAAAAGTTTCAGAACCCGTGAGTGTGCTGATTTTCTCTTCCGCGCATGGTTCTCGTCCGTGTTATGCTTCTCTTCTCTCTTCCGCGCATGTTATGCTTCCGCGCATGTTATGCTTCCGCGCATGTTATGCTTCCGCGCATGTTATGCTTCCGCGCATGTTATGCTTCTCTTCTCTCTTCCGCGCATGTTTTGCTTGACCCGTCTCGTCCACTCAACACCACTCACATCCCTCACCCTCCCGTCCAACCCCCCTCCATTTTCGGCCTCCTGACGTCTCTCGAGCTCGACTCGCCGTTCGCCCGTCGCTCCATGTACTACCAGCACCGTTCTCACGCGCCCCTCCCTCCTGTCCACCTCTTCCCCGCTCTCCACTCACTCTCTCTCCTCATCCATGCCTCAAAACTCACCCCCCTCACCCGCTGCTCCTCCCTCACCTCCCTCACACTCTGGAACCCCACACCCTCCACCCTCTCCTCCCTCGCCTCCTCCTCCTCTCTCCGCCTCTCCCTCAAATCCCTCTTCCTCCACTCCGCAAAGCTAGAGTCCTGCCTCTCCTCCATCCGCCGCTTTACCACCCTCACCTCTCTCTCCTTCCTCTCCTGCTCCATCAATCCATTCGAGCTTCACACTCTCTCTCGCTCCCTTCACTCTCTCACCCACCTTACCATCCATGACTGTCCCCTAGTCTCCAGCCATTCTCTAGCCTCCCTGGTTCAGGCCAATCCTGCTCTCTCCTCTCTCTCCCTCCACGGTACCTCCTACCGCCTCTTCAGCACACAGGGGTTCCGTTCCCTCCTCCACCTCTCCGCACCCCGCTTGACCGCTCTTGACCTCTCTGGACTGCCGTCCTTACGCCCAGGCATGCTTGCTCACTGCAGCGGCCTTCGTTCCCTCTCCTTGATAGGAAAGCCGGAAACAATTTCTGTGCGGAGGGAGAGAGGTGGTGAGGCTGGGACGGGGGAGGGGAGGGGTGGAGGAGGGAGGGAGGGAGAGGGGGATGTGGAGGAAAGGGTGGTGCTTCAGCAGGTATCCTTTGAGAGTCTTGTGGGCATGCTGGTGAGGGTGGTGCAGAGGGGAGGAGAGGGAGGAGAGGGAGGAGAGGGAGGAGAGGGAGGAGAGGGAGGAGAGGGAGGAGAGGGAGGAGAGGGAGGAGAGGGAGGAGAGGGAGGAGAGGGAGGAGAGGGAGGAGAGGGAGGAGAGGGAGGAGAGGGAGGAGAGGGAGGAGAGGGAGGAGAGGGAGGAGAGGGAGGAGAGGGAGGAGAGGGAGGAGAGGGAGGAGAGGGAGGAGAGGGAGGAGAGGGAGGAGAGGGAGGAGAGGGAGGAGAGGGAGGAGAGGGAGGAGATTGTTCGAGCGACGTTCGAAAGACGGCACCACCAGGGGAGATTGTTAGAGCTTTTGACTCTAGGAACGGAGGAGGGAGGAAGGAATATGTGGACGCTCGAACGACGGCAGCAGCAGCACGAACAGACCTAATGGCAGCATGCAGAGACTTATCCAATCTCATGGAAGAAACAAGCAAGGCCTTCACAGCCGCCCCTGATTCTGCCCGGTGGGCCCGCACAGCCCGCCCGGAATACGCCCTAGCGGAGATCAAATCCGCATCGAATCGAATCAGATCGGCTATTTCCACCTGCAAGGCGCTGCGGGTGGCGGTTTCGGAGCAAGACGCTGCTACGGCGAGAGAGGATGCGGTGATAGAGGCGTTTGTTGCTGCCACGACTGCAGGCGTGTTCATGGAGAGGGCTGGTTTGGAAGGGGAGGGCGAAGGGGGAGGGAGAATGGCTCGGCTCGAAGACTTTGATGGGATGCTGCCAGATGAAGACTCTCCTAGTGATGATGATTATGACGATGATGGTGGTGGTGGTGCTGATGTTGCTGATGGTGCTGAAGGGAGTGGGGGTGAGAGCGGGAGTGAAATTGCGAGGGGTGCGGACGCGGCTGACGCACGGGTGGAGGCTTTAAGTGTCGCTGCTGCGGCAGTTTAATGAGCAGTTGAGTGTGGCCCTGGCGAGTGTCAGAGCCATGCGCCGGCACCGTCGGACCGGTGACGGCCGCCTTGCTGCTGCTGATGGTGGTGATGATGGTGCTGCTGCTGCTGCTGATGGTGGTGATGATTGTGGTGGTGCTGCTGCTGCTGATGGTGGTGGTGGTGGTGCTGCTGCTGGTGGTGGTGCTGCTGGTGCTGGTGGTGGTGGTGCTGGTGGTGCTGATGATGGTGGTGCTGCTGCTGGTGCTGGTGCTTCTGATGGTGCTACTGATGGTGGTGATGGTGCTGCTGGTGCTAGTGCTAGTGGTGATGGTGCCGGTGCTGCTGATGATGGTGATGGTGCTACTGCTGCTGCTGATGGTGCTGCTGGTGCTGGTGGCAGCAGCGGCAGCAGCAGCAGGAAGCAAAATGGCAGCTCAAAACCAGTCAGCAACAGCAGAGCTGCACGGGTTAGCAGAAGCACGACAGGCAAATTTAATGGCAGTGGCACCACCAAAAAGGGCACTGCTGGAATTCCTGTGGAGGTCATCTGTCCTCCCTTGCACTCCTTAGCCCTCCAAGACTTTCACTTCACCCGAACCACTCCCGAACCTACCTGGCTGCCTCCATCCCTTCCCTCTGCCTCGCCTCTCATGTGCCTCGTGAATTCCCCTGGATCCCCTCGTGCATCCCCCTCGCCACTTCTCTCGACCCCCTCTTCCTCCCGCTCCTCTTCTCGCTTCTCTCCTGCTGCCATTTCAACCATTTCGAGCCTGAGCGCGCAGCCGCAGTCGTTTGAATCCGTGGCACTCGCTGCTGTTTTCGGCCGGCTGAAGCGCCTTTCTCTGGTGTCGTGTTTCTGCCTGAAAGAGGAGCAGCTGGTGCTGCTGCTGCGTGCCTGCCCCGCGCTCGTGGCTTTAATTGTCAAACACAACGAGGACTTCTCGGACCGGGTGGTGGCGAGAAGCAAGTTGCATATGCTCACTGATCTGACCATGCTCGAGTGTGATGCGATCACTGGTGATGGGGTTGGAAGGCTGCTGGGAAGCTTCCCGAAGTTGCGTGAATTGATGGTGGAGGCAAGCAAGGTTGGAGAGAGGGCACGCAGGGAGCTGCTTCGTGCGGGCGTGGTTCTGAATCATGGGTGATAGAGTGGAGTGGGGCATCTGTATTTCTATGCTGTATTTTCTGTAGAGGCAGGTGAAGGTGCAGTTGACAAAATGACAGTATACTTAATGTAGAATCTTTCCGTAGTATATTGGTTGGGAGTGCAGTGTTACAGGAGTGAAAATCTGTCGCAAGGCATGTGCTTTGTGTGTCTGACTCCATGACTCAGAGATGCTCTTTACAAAAGACAGGTAAGCTTTGGTAGGATGGAAGAAGTATGCAGCATATACAACAGCGTTAGGAGTGTAGTAATCTGAATGTCAGGTTTGCTGCATCCTAGGTAAAGGCAGACTTGTTTGGTGAATTGTTGTCATCCGCCGTGGCTGTGGCTTCGGCTGGCGTGTTACAGTACTTTCGAATCAATCGCGTCAGCGATTGGGTCCAAAATGCATGGCGAGCTTTGTCGAATCAATTGATTCCGTCTGGCCTGCTCATAGGGAACTCCAGTCCTGTACCTCGTCTGTCACCTCGCTGATCTGGATTGGCTGAAATCATGGCTTCTAAATGTCGGTGCGGTGCGCATGCCCCCACTGGCAGACCCATAATTTGGTTGGCGCGCATGAGAAGATGCCAAGGCGCATCTTCAAGAGCAGCCCCCCTTCTCCCCCTCCCACTCAACTTCCCCCAACCACGCACATCAACGAATAACCAGCGCACCTCACGGCACGCCACTTACGCATTCCATGAGCAAGTCCGCACCGCGCGAGAACTGTATCGTTGCATTCAATTTCAAGCCGCATTGGCCGCAATTTCCGACGTGGCTTTCCAAGCATCTGGCGAATAGGAATCCTTGCAACCAGTTCACGGGCGAGGTGACTCATACGGTTGGTATCGACGCATTGAGTCCAAATTATAGCCAATCCGCTGGAAGCGACTCAACGAAGCCTGGATTCCGGGCAGGATGCCTCCTTGACTCGGAAATTGGATGACGCAACGTTATCCACATCTTCTGTCCGCGTCATGCAGCGTCCAAAAGGACCCGTCGTCGAACCACACGTGTCACCACCAGCGTGTCATGTCAATCGGAATCAGGAAGGACCCTCAGGTACGGTATCAACACGCAAGCACTTTGCTGCTGGTCAGCATGGAGGAATCTGAATTGAAAGGTCGTTTTCGGTTGGTCTCTCTACCTGCACCCTCTGCGGCAGCGATGGATTTTGCCGTTCGGTCAAAAATCTCTGACACAACACAAAACGGAATCATTCAGTCTGTTCCCTGAGTTGCTCTTCTCGACACACACACCGCAGCACCTGCAGAAGAGAGCCAGCCAACTTGTGTGGTCCTGGCGTTCCCCAGAAGAACATTTCTATGTTAGCATCCTCCATCCCTTCAGCAATTTCCTCCAGGATATTCGTCCCAGCAGATGCTTCACATCAGTAGCGTTTGTCAATCTTGTGCAGCCATAGCTATAAATGAAATCGAAATTTGCTGGCACATTCATCTACGAGACCACAATTAGCTCAAAATCCCTTACATCTTGCTCATCCTTCTGGACTAGCTGCTACGTTTTACAAGAGCTCGCAACCAGCAACATCCGCTTCACGTCGAAACCTCGAGTAGTCAAATTCTACAGGAAGCGCAGCACGAACCAGGCATCGCAGGACCAAATTCCACGCAGCTACTATGTCTGGTCTCCTTGACATTCTAGCCTTGGGAACCACGACCTCCCTCTGCCAGACCACGTTCCAAGCTTCCCTCGCACATGTATCCCTTACCAATAAGTTCCTTCCCCCTTTGACCGACCTGACCCAGCCTTCAGCGATGGAAGCCAATTTCGTCGAGTCTAGGAAGACTGCCGTATATGGACCCACCACGGAAGCGTCAGGGTACAGCAGCACCGGTAATTCCACGTGGGACAGTGTCGCTGGCCTTCAGTTGATACGCCACGTCAGCAGCAATATCCCGTCCAGCAGCTGCAACAGGTTAGTACTTCCAAGTTTTGATTATCTCACGTTGCGTGCTACGCCTACTCGTCCCTCCGAAATTCGTTTGTTAGCTATTGCGTCTGTCTCTTAACTTACACCATTTCTCCTTATCTCCTTATTCCTGCTTCCGTTACACTGTCACAGCTCGCAGAGCGGCTCATCATGCGACTCGTTTTGTCTTGACGAAATGGTTTCCGACTTCATAGAGGAAGACCGCGCCGTCGGTGTCGACGCTGGCGACGGTTATGACACTCGCAGGAACAAGCTCCCGGTCTCTCAAGCTAGGTCTGCCAAAAATTCCAAATTGGAACCGACAGTAGCAGCAGCGCATGACGACGGTGCTGGGCGTGACTCGGCGAGATGCGTCAGCGGGAAACGGGAGAATCACGTGTACGACGCTCCTGCTGACACGTGGCGGTGTCAATTCTGCGGAGGGGCCCAGTGTAACGGCCTGGACTGCCAGCTGCGCATGAGTTACCATCATGGTGGCCTTTGTGCGAATCAACAACCTTCGGATAACAGCTCGTGCAGCGAAATAGAACGACTCGCCTCCATGATCGAGGTTAGTGAGCCGCCTGACTGGTTTGATGCGCCTTAGAAAGTAGGCTCGGGGTCCGCGACTCTTTTTGTCCCTCGCGAATTAGCTGTTGCCGTCAGGTTCTCTGCGAGCGGAGCTTCAATTTGAGGGAAGTCACCCTGTATATTTTTTTTTACTTTATTTTCTGTGATTTGTTTTCCTCGTCTTTCCGTCTTCTCTTACTGTTAACAGCCACTCAGCTGCTGTGAGACCCCCGAAGAATATGCAGTTTACGATATTGTCTCTGCCGCCATGGAGCATGCAACGGACCCGTCTGCCGACGCCAGCACAAGCAGCGGCGCTGTACGCAACGCGGTGGTGCAGCAGTTGCGGAGTCGGGGATACGATGCTGCTGTGTGCTACTCTCAGTGGGACTACTCCAACGGCGTCCCTGATGGTGAGTGCAGATTCCACGTGCCTTCGCTCCTTGAGAGTCTCCTCCATTGAAACCTGAACTGAAACCCCTCACTCTCTTCCTTACCCCCCCTTTCCTGGATTTGACTCCGCATCACCCCTCTTAGCCTTTTCTTACATACCGTTTCAGCGTTTTCCGTCCTTCTAACACTACCTCTCACTCTCTTGCCATCTCTGCTGGCAGGCTCTCACGAGTACTGTGACGTCGTCATTCATCCATCCTCCCCACATCGTCTACCTGAGCGGCTCATAGTTGACCTTGACTTCCGGGCACAGTTTCAAGTTGCTCGTCCGACTCCGCAGTACAGTTACATCTTGCAGCTGACCCCGGTTTCTTTTGTCGGCTGCCCTGACCGGTTACACCGTCTGGTGGAGATTTTATCTGAGGCGATGCGGCTGTCTCTGCATGCCCAGGGCATGCACGTGCCACCCTGGCGCCGACACCCTTACCTCTCCGCCAAGTGGACAGCCGTTTATTCGCGCCACATCAGCAGCTCTTCCGCAGGTTGTTCAAGGGAATTTGAACCATCTGCTGCTGCTGCTAAGGTATCAGCTGCTACGTCTGAACCTGCTACCGTACCTGCATCAAACCACATGCGAATTCCAGCACAACTGAATACAAGCCATTTGGGCTTTCCTCGTGCACTCAATCATGCCCGTCAGCACAGGCCGGGAGCTGCTGTGGTGGGCCTACTGGCGAGAGGCATGAAAGAGCTTGCTCTCCACCGTCAGGCAGTGGTTTGAGGCTTCACCTGAAGGGCGTTTCACCTGAAATGGGTTTCGCCTGAAGGGACAGCCGCCATGCAAGTCAGAAGATGGCCTGTGCATATGGGGAAGGCATCAATTGCTGCAGTATCACCTGCCCAGAGTGACACCTGTTGTGCAGTTTAACCGGGAAGATAATGGAGGCACCTATACAGAGCTGTGCAGACAGGAAGTTACCTGTGCTTGGTTGGGCCTGTCTGCGCACTCTCCAATTTTGATACAGGCTTTGCCAGCTAGTGGTTAAATCAGTGTTTATCCCGTGTATAATAAGTAATGTCTTTTAGCTTTCATAATGCTGAAAGTATTCCCACACAAAGATGCTTTGGAAGAAAGGGTGCCAGGAAAAACAAAAAACAAAAATTGTAAATAATAATGGGAAATAGAAAAGGTCAGTCACCCATGGACAAGCATCATGAGGCTCCTATAGGCTAACCAGCGCAACTTCTCTCTCCGCCTAAAGAAAGAAGGGGGAGAGAGCTGCGGAAGGCGCTACGAGCAGTGGAGGAGTCTCATGATGGCTGTTCACGAGGAGCAATCATCCTGATAATTCACGGTAGAGCCTGTAGCTGGTGAGCTGCAGCTGCTGCTTCTGTTGCTTCTGCTGCTGCTTCTGTTGTGGCTGTTGCCGCAGCAGCTTCTGCTGATGCTAGAGCAGCCGCTAGTTCTACCAGAGGCTCGACACGTTCTCCAGGCTCTCAAAATCGCCCAGGTCGCTCACCGAGGGCGACATTGTCGCAGGCGTCGCCAGGATGTCGCAGAAGCTGTCGTCGAAGAGCTCTTCAATGAGGGATAGGGCAGATGGGACGTCGGAAGCAGATAACTTTTCGCAATCCGCGGCTCCGTTAATAGTGGCCGCGTCACTGGTAACATCATCGCGAGGCTCGTTCGTTGACGTGGCAGACTGGGTTTCCGGAAGAAAGCAAGCATTATCCTGGACGCCCGGCGCCATTTCCTGCGGGAGCGGCTCGAAGGGACATTCAGACACCACCACGTTCTGCCCGACAACCTCCAAACTCGCCATGTCGCCGCGAAATGCGGACAGGTTTACGGGAGTCGCATCGCCGTCGCCGCTGTTGGCGCGCGCAACCCTGATGAGCGCCTCGGCAATGCTTTTTGCGACTGTCACGGGGCGCGGGACCGCGTCGGGTGCGTTGAGAGTAACATTCGACGCAACTTCGCCGAAGATCATCCGCGCCGCCATGTCGTACACGCGCATCGCTTCCTCCGCGGTCGCGTAGGAGCCCAGCCATACGCGCGTCTTAGTGCGCGGGCAGCGGATCTCCGTCACCCACCGCCCCCACTTGCGCTGCCGCACGCCCTTGAGCCTGAGACGGCGGCAGGGCGCGGGCGCAGGAGCGGCGGCGGCGGCGGGGACAGCGGCGGGGACAGCGGCGAGAGCGGGAGTCGGGGGGGGAGCGTGGAGGCACGCGAGAGCGGATGAGGTTGTCGGGGAGGAAAGGGGGGTGATTGGCGGGGAGACGAGGGGAGAGCTTGTTTGGGGAGACGCGGTCAGCGCGGGCAGCAGGGTCAAGGGCTGGAACTCGCCGTCGACGGCGGAAAGAACCGAAGTGGGAGTAGAGGAGGGTGAAGACTTAATGCTGTTGAAACTAGTCTCGGAAATGCGAGCGCGCTTCTCTGGGCCGTTGGAAAGGAAAAGCGGTAATGTGGAGTCCATAAAGGTAGACACCTCGTTATCGAGTTTGCGCTTCAGCGTTGCTGCGTCGGGGAAGAGAAGGGAGTGAGCCCACGGGGTGACGAAGCTGGGAAAGGCGGGAAACTCCATTTCGTAACGTGCTGATTCAACTAGCAGCTATGCTGTTTGCTGCTGCTGTAAAGTTTTGCTGTGAAACGGTAAGTTGAGTTCGCTTGTCGTGATAAAGAAAGCGCGAAACGTGCTGATGGATGGAATTGAAAATGTTTGTTGCTTTATGCGGATGCTCGTTGGGGCTGGGTAGGGTACGCGGGGGAAGTGACCGACATCGCAGACGGGGAAAGGCACCGCGGGCGGAAGCAAGGTGGGTGGCTGTGCGTTGACGAAACTTCGTGTTTGACTGACGAAAAAGTCTCGCGCCAAAACGAAGTGTGACGAAGAGAGACGAAGAAAGTCGAATGCGAGACCACTGAGGCAAGGGGGGGTGGCGGAAGAGAATGGGGAGGGGAAGGAGGGCAGGGGAAGAAAACGGGACGCACTAATTGAAATGCGGCTCGTCATGCTGAATTCACGCCTCGATTGTGAATTGCGCGCTCCGCGGGTGAATTCATTCAGAGGTTTTGTTGGGAACGCTTGGGGACGAAAAATAGTGTTTTGTCGTTACGCCAAAAGTCAGAACCTCACACCGACCCACCACCACCCAACCTTGTCGTAAAAAATCCCTCTACAACTGAGTCGCCCTGCTTTTGATGGAGCTGAAATGAACTGCTGGGGCTCAAACATCACAAATAGATTTGATATATCACACAACCCCATTTGTGAAAACAGCTCCCCCATGTATGATGAAATATCACCTCATTTGTAAGAACAGCCGCAATCATACATTATAAATCATCAAGCAACCTCATTTGTAAGAACAGCTCCCCTCATGCATTTTTGTGTTGATTTCGCAGCGCGGGCATGATATCTCTTTCGCATGTTCAATCATTCAAATATTCCGAATGCAAGACATTGTATGATTCCGTGTTGAGCTCGGGTGATGATAATGAATATTATATCCACAATAGTTGGCCATTGTGTCCATTATCTTCCTGTCCATCCTCAACTGATTTTCTGATTGCAAGCAAATGTTCTAACAGGAACATACAACAACTGGATCAATTGCGCTGGCAGAGAAATTATATCTTTATTCACAAGGAAATTACACGGATGAACTTAGCAGTCACCCATGGACAGGCATCATGAGGCTCCTGTACGCCTCGCCTACAGCTTCTCAATCCCGTTAGGAAAAGATAATGGGGGGAAGAGAGCTGCAGGAGGGGGAGCTAAGAGCACTGGAGGAGACTCATGATGGCTGTCCACGAGGAGCAAGCGACCTACTAATGCATAAACTACAGGTGCTGCCGGTGCTGGTAAAGCTGGGAGCTCGAAGAGTGCTGTGATGGTGCTGCTGCCTGTGGCGTTGGTGCTGCCTGAACGACGTCTGTGTGAAGCTCAGTCAGAACATGTCTTCCCAGAGGCCAGAAACGTTCTCCAAGCTCTCAAAATCGCCCAGGTCGCAGACCGAGGGCGACATTGTCGCATGGGTCGCCAGGTTGTCGCAGAAGCTGTCGCTGAAGAGCTCATCGATGAAGGATAGCGGGGACGGGACATCAGAGGCAGATACTTTCGCGTTGTAAGCCACTCCGTTAGTAGCAGTAGCCTCGTCCGACTGCTTCTGATAAATCTCGCAATCAGCTCTGGTTGATGTGGCAGTCTCACATTTCGGAAAATGGCTCGTCTCGTTTTTGGCGCTAGGAGTCACTGTCAGCGCGAGCGGTGCGAAAGGGCATTCAGACACCACCACGTTCTGCCCGACAACCTCCAAGCAGGCCATATCTCCGCGAAACGCGGACAGGTCAACGGGAACGGCATCGTCGTTGCCGCTGCTGGCCCGCGCAACCTTGATCAGCGCCTCGGCGATGCTCTTTGCAACGGTCACGGGACGCGGGGCCGCGTCGGGCGCGTTGAGTGCGACCTTCGAGCCAACTTCGCCGAAGATCATCCGCGCCGCCATGTCGTAAACGCGAACCGCTTCCTCCGCCGTGGCATACGAGCCCAGCCACACGCGCGTCTTGGTGCGCGGGCAGCGGATCTCCGTCACCCACCGCCCCCACTTGCGCTGCCGCACGCCCTTGAGGCGTCGGGGGAGCGCGGGGGCAGTGGAAGCGGCGGGGGAAGCGGCGGGCGCGGGGGATGCGAGGGGAGCGGAGGAAGAGGTGAGAGCAGATGCGGCTGTCACGAAGGAGAGGGGGGAGTCTGGCGGAGAGGCGAGAGGAGAGCTTGTTGGGGAAGGCGGGGTCAGCGGGGGCAGGGCTTGGAACTCCCCGTCGAATGCGGAAAAGACTGATCTGGGAGTGGCGGAGGGCGAAGACTTAACGTCACAAAAGATAGTCTCGGGAATGCGAAGGCGCTTCCCTGGGCCGGCGACGAAAGGTGGTAACGTGGAGTCGAGAATGGTGGACGTTTCGCTATCCGCTTTGCGCTTCAGTGGCGTAGCGTCTGGGAAGAGAAGGGAGTGAGCCCACGGAGTGACGAAGCTGGGATAGGCAGGGAACTCCATTTGCTAACGTACTAAGCCAACTAATCGCTGTTGCTGCGCAGTAGTCTCTAAAAATCCTAAGGTATTCGCTGCTGCAGAGAGTTTTGCTCCAAAGAACTATTGCTACTAGTGAGTAGGAAAGCAAGGAATGCAAGTTGTAATTGGTTTTGGAAAATTTGATTGCTGAAATGACGAATGCTCGCCGCTATTTGTATGTGTTCGTTGGGTCGTTGCGGGGGAAGGCACGCGGAGTGAGTGACTGTCACTGCGGAAGGGGCAAGGGACTGTGGGTGAGGGGCTGGGCCTGGATGCGCGTGCGCGGTAACGAGCCGACTGACGAAATCAGAACGAAGCTTGGCGAGGGCTAACGAGACTAGACGAAACGGTGGAGGCGATGGCGGTGAGAGGGAAGGTTCGAGCGTAGAAGGAGGGCAGCGGAGGGTGAAAGAAGATGTTACCCGTTTCGAAGCGGCTCGACATGACATTGCGCGCCTCGGTTTGTGAAATGCGCGCTCCGCGGGTAATTTCAGAGCGGACAAAACATGCTTCTGTCGTCTGGCGAATAATCCAACGATTGGCCACACATTCTGGCGGTAACTGGAAGTTTCGTGCATTTTCGAACTTCGCTTATGGGGATGCTCTCTTTACAGCACCTCGATTATGCTCCGTACGTGACACGGGCGTAAACTTTAGTATGAGATGTTTATACATTTCTTTTGGAAAAAGAAGACAAACCAATTTTCTAGTCAACATTTTCTGATTATGATGTCAATACGCAGAAACAGCGTCAACCAATCAATGGCTTGACGTTTAAGTTTGTGCCAGGGTAGAAGACCGTGCGAATTGCATCGTTGAGAACGCGGACCATGATAAGTTGTAGCTCCGAGGCCTTCTGCTCAAGAAAGCGGGGTGGTACGACGACGGAGCAACACCGACATACGATAGGAAGAACGTTTTTTTTCTCAGCATGTACCACATGAATGTAATGTATGGCAGAAGCATGTTTGGAATGAATCAAGCATCATGTTTGCGGTAAAAATTACTGTAGCAGGTTAGCTTACCCCTTGCGGTGGGTCGGCAAGAATTGGCGGTACTTGCCCAGGCTGAGTGTAGTCCCTCTTGTCAAATCGCCACACTACCTTGTCAGCTTCGTCCTACAAAGGGGGAAGGAGATGGGGAAGCGGGAAGGGGAAGAAGGGGGAATGGGGAATGGGGAAAAGGAGGGTAGAAAGAGAAGAGAGTATTGGGGGGTCAATGGAGATTACTTGGAGGAAGACTGCATTAGATTGTCACTCTACTCGGCATTGGATTGAACTCGCAGGCTCATGCGGAAAGAAGAAAGAAAGAAAGAAAGAAAGAAAGAAAGAAAGAAAAAACGAATTGTATTGTACCTTGAACTCGTAGCCCCATGTGTAATGAATAATGGCTGCATCACCCAATACTGAGTCAGCTGGAGGCTGTGAGGGAGGGTGGTCAGGGAAAGAAAGGGCCGGAGGGAAGACATGGAAGGCCACATGGTTGCGGGGAAAGAAGGGACAGTATTGTGTACTCCCATATGTGATGGCTAATTTTTGAGAATTCTAGAAAATCACTCACAAGGGCCGGAGGGAAGACATGGAAGGGCGCATGGTTGCGGGGAGAGAAAAGACGGTATTGTGTACTCCCATATTTGATGGCTAATGGCTGCATTGCCCCGCTTGATGGCATGTTGCATCAGGGTTGCAGAGCGTTACAGCACCATCATGCCATGCCATGCGATGCCATGCCATGCCATGCCATGCTATGCAATGCACATCCCACCACATTCACCATCGCACCTGCACCATGATGGCGTGTGGCACTAGGGGCAGATTGATGGGCATGTTGCCATCATGCCATGCCACGCAAATGACATGCACATGACATGCACATGCACATGCACATGCACATCCCACCTGCAACACATCCCCACCCACCTGCACCATGATGGCGTGTGGCACTAGGGCAAATTAGGGATGAGCAAAAAAACGAACACCTGTTCGAGGCGAACCGAACAGGTTTTGATTTATATCTTAAATTGTTCGCCGAACACTGTTCGAGTTTCGGCCGAACACGTTCGTGTTCGTGGCGCTGCTGCAGAACGCCCCGTGTTGTTCGGTTCGCCGAACGACCATGTTCGTGCAAGGGCGAACGCGAACATGTTTGTGTTTGCCCTTTGCTCATCCCTAGGGCAGATCGATGATGGACTTGTTTTCTCGCGCACTAGGGTCATCATGCCACGGCACCACATGCCACCACAAGCCACCCCGTTGCACCCACCTGCACCATGATGGCATGTGGCACTAGGGGCAGATCGATGGGCATATTTCCGAGCGCAGCAGCAATGGAGAAGGCATACATCTCCCGCACCCACCTGTTGTGGTGGGACGGAGGAGGAAGGGGGTTGAGAGAGGGGAAGTGAGTAAGGAAGGGAGATGTGCAAGGGGGAGCGGAGGGCATGTTGCCAAGCGCAGCAGCAATGGAGAAGGCATACATCTCCCGCACCCACCAATGATGGTGGGGGATGGGAAGGGGGGGAGGAGAGGAGGAGAGGTATAGGAGTGGAACATGAGGTTCAAGAACGGAAGACAGGAAGGAAGGGAGGGGTGCATGGGGCAGTGGAGATTGGAGAGCATGTTGCCTAGAGCAGCAGCAAGAAAGAAAGCATACATCGCCCCATCACATTCATCCCTCCCCTCCCCCCTCTACGCCTCCCTTAGCGTTCCATTCCATCACCTCACCCGCTCCAACCCCCCCACACAAAGTCTCAGCCACCCAACCACCAGCCCATCCACCCGCCCACCCGCCCACCCGCCCGCCCAACCGCACGCCCCGCCCACCTGCCCAGCCAGCCACCCAGCCAGCTACCCACTTTTCCTTCTTAGCCTCTTCGCCTTCTTCAAAGCAGGCTGTGATGTCAACCCATATGGGGGATCAAACCAGTCCACCACACTTCCCCACAATCCCTCTGCTTCCCTCCACTCCCCTCCTGTTTATTTTTCTTCCTCCTTACGTTCCCCTCCCCTCCTGTAAATTTACTTCCTCCTTACGTTCCCCTCCCCTCCTGCAAATTTACTTCCTCCTTACGTTCCCCTCCCCTCCTGTAAATTTACTTCCTCCTTCCGTTCCCCTCCCCTCCTGTAAATTTACTTCCTCCTTACGTTCCCCTCCCCTCCTGTAAATTTACTTCCTCCTTCCGTTCCCCTCCCCTCCTGTAAATTTACTTCCTCCTTACGTTCCCCTCCCCTCCTGTAAATTTACTTCCTCCTTACGTTCCCCTCCCCTCCTGTAAATTTACTTCCTCCTTACGTTCCCCTCCCCTCCTGTAAATTTACTTCCTCCTTACGTTCCCCTCCCCTCCTGTAAATTTACTTCCTCCTTACGTTCCCCTCCCCTCCTGTAAATTTACTTCCTCCTTACGTTCCCCTCCCCTCCTGTAAATTTACTTCCTCCTTACGTTCCCCTCCCCTCCTGTAAATTTACTTCCTCCTTACGTTCCCCTCCCCTCCTGTAAATTTACTTCCTCCTTACGTTCCCCTCCCCTCCTGTAAATTTACTTCCTCCTTACGTTCCCCTCCCCTCCTGTAAATTTACTTCCTCCTTACGTTCCCCTCCCCTCCTGTAAATTTACTTCCTCCTTACGTTCCCCTCCCCTCCTGTAAATTTACTTCCTCCTTACGTTCCCCTCCCCTCCTGTAAATTTACTTCCTCCTTATGTTCCCCTCCCCTCCTGTAAATTTACTTCCTCCTAACGTTCCCCTCCCCTCCTGTAAATTTACTTCCTCCTTACGTTCCCCTCCCCTCCTGCAAATTTACTTCCTCCTTACGTTCCCCTCCCCTCCCGTAAATTTACTTCCTCCTTACGTTCCCCTCCCCTCCTGTAAATTTACTTCCTCCTTATGTTCCCCTCCCCTCCTGTAAATTTACTTCCTCCTTACGTTCCCCTCCCCTCCTGTAAATTTACTTCCTCCTTACGTTCCCCTCCCCTCCTGTAAATTTACTTCCTCCTTACGTTCCCCTCC